CCGGTTTTTTTCCTCGGAATTTGCGGGGTCTCTTGAACCCAAGTGGCTCTCCTGAACAACTAGTTTCGCGCGAAATTCAAATTGAAAACTTCATGAAAGATTCTGAACCTTGGATTTTCAGAAGAAGAAAATCAAGCGAAATTATCAATTTTATGATAATTTTTATGTGAAATTTTGAGAAATATTTTAAAGCTTAACACATTAGAATAATACCACAAGTCTTCGATTTTACACTTTTATTCATGTCCCTGAGAATAGAAACATTTGGGGGTGCTCAGGGGTAGAAATAGAAAAAAAAACTGGGGGAAAAAAACCAGGGAATAAAGGCATGGAATTCATCATAGCATGAATTTCAATATAATCAAAGGATACAAAAAAAAACAACGGAAGAAACGAAATAATGAATTTTGAAGAGCCAAGTTTAGCCTTCACACACACTGCTCATCTGAATTCGAAGTGGCCTCTCCTTTCGACGATTCGCATTCGCCGACTGCCGTTCTCTTTAATCTTGATCTGCTTGCGCTCGTCCTCCGTCAGAATTCTCGGCTCCTCTTCTGAATCCTTGTAGTAGAGAACTCGACTCCCAGTCTTCTCGACAAAATCCTTCGGGCTGGGGTAGTTGAGATGGAGATCCTTGGCGAATGCCACTCTGAAAAAATGAAATTGAACAATTGGATAATGGTCTAGGTAGCTCACTTGTTCTCCAACATATCCAAACGGCTCTTTACAAATGGCCATTTCTGCCAATTGAACTCTTTCGGCTGAAAAAAATCATTGTTCAGATATCCAAGAAGCTATTCTCTAACCTCTGTGATTGCTAGCCGATCCAGTGGAATTCCAGACACTTTAGTCAGCGCTTCCATAAACGACAAAACAGGATTCTCGGCATTCGAATCGACAAGCACCTCGTGCGTCGGACTGACTTCTACGGTCGACGGGCGGAACCTCCTCACCAAAATTGGATCTCCAGGCTTACCAAGCACTGCTTCATCGGTGACGATCTGCATGTAGATGTGCGAGCACCAGTTGTATCCTCGTTTCTCCAAAGTGTCATTTGGGTTGAGAATCGCCTTCGCATTGTAGTGCCCTGTAGTGGAGACGTCACGTAGCCGGACTGCTTTCGGTGTGAGCTCCTCTCCATACACCTCATTGTACATTCGAATGCATTGCAAAAGGATGTCACCAATAACCGTGCTCTGGTATCTTGAACCCAAGTGGAGAGCGCGTTTCCAATCTTTCAAATAATTTCGGATAAATATTTGCTTTAGAGTTTCAAAATATCTATGTTTGGGATTCAATCGATTTTCAGAGATGAAAAAAGTGACATTCGGTGATGACGTAATGTCACCAGCACCGAGGAAAACGAAGCAAGAGGCGACACCGGTGAAGAAAAAGGCGAAAGGAAAGAAAAGAGTTCAGCAACACATACAGATGACGTTGAAGAAGATGAGAGGTACATTATTTTACGACGCAGTGTTCGACTTTTGTGATGTAACACAAATTTTTCAGAAGAGCAAGAAGCAGAAGAAGCGGAAGAAAATGAGAACGTTGAGAAGCCCGAATGCAACTGCCGAGAAGAGGCCGACGAGCCAGCTAAGAAGAAACGAAAGAAAGCAGCAGAAGGCGAATCAGAAGCACAGAAGAAGTCTCGAGAAACAATCGGAGCAAAAGTTCTGGAAGCATCTCAAGGCTCCAGTAAAATGCTCGGATTCCATGTAAGCGCTGCTGGTGGTCTAGAACAAGCTATCTACAATGCAAGGGCAGAGGGATGTCGTAGTTTTGCGATGTTCGTTCGAAATCAACGCACATGGAATCACAAACCAATGGAGGAGAGTGTCGTTGAGAATTGGTGGAAGGCGGTTCGAGAAACGGAATTTCCGCTGGGTCAAATTGTGCCCCATGGATCGTATCTAATGAATGCGGGATCGCCGGAAGAGGAGAAGCTGGAGAAGTCGAGGAATGCGATGGTTGATGAGTGTCAGAGAGCTGAGAAACTCGGCATTACGATGTACAATTTTCATCCGGGATCCACGGTTGGGAAGTGTGAAAGGGAGAAGTGTATGGATACGATTGCCGAGACAATTGATTATGTGGTGGAGAGGACCGAGAAGATTGTGTTAGGTACGACAACTACAGTACTTTTCCAGCTTCGCCATTTTGTAGGAGTCTGAAGCTTGGCTGTCAAGTGTCGGATCAAAATAGATCTAGATTGAAAATTTCTACTTTTCCGATTTCTGAAAAACGCCCCATTTTGCCCGTTTTTGTACTGAAAACAAGGGAAAAAGTTTGAAAATTGAACTTTTCCGCCTAAAATAGACTAAAAATCATTGAAATTCGACCATAGATTTTGTACTCCTCGTGGACAAGTCGAACCTCGAAATTTGAATTTTTGGGTTACAAAGCAGCTAAAAATGTGATTTTTTTTTTGATGTAAAATCGCTAGGAAACATAGAAAGTCGAATTTTTGAACAAATTTGAAGATTTCGTATTTTGTACTCCTTGTGGATAAGTCAACGCGCGGAACTGGAATTTTCTGGAAAAATCGAAATTTCGGAATATTTCAAAATTTTAAAAATGGGGAATTTTCCGAATTTCCCCAAAAAATCAGAATTAAAGAAAACTCTGAATTTTAAAAAATCGAAATTCCAAAAATCGGATTTTGTGAATATGCTGAATTTCGAGGAATTCGAAATTTTGGAATTTCAGAATATCTCGAATTTCAAAAAATTGGAATTTCGGAATTTTGAAATATTCCAAAATTTGAAAAATCGGAATTTTGGAATTTCCGAATATTTCAAATTAAAAAAAAGCGAAATTTTGGAATTTCAGAATATTTCAAATTTCAAAAATTGGAATTTCGGAATTTCGAAATATTCCAAAATTTGAAAAAAAAACCAGATTTTTTGAAATTTCAAAATTTTCCGAATTTTCGAAAATCGGAATTTTTTGAATTTCAGCCGAGTTCCAGACTCATTAAAATGGCTGAAAATCAACTGAAAAATACGGTTACTTTAAAATATCTCATTGACCGGTATGCTGTATATAATTATAGTTTTATTTTCAGTGCTGGAAACAATGGCTGGACAAGGGAATTCAATCGGTGGAACATTTGAAGAACTCAAGTACGTCATCGATAGAGTCAAGAACAAGTCCCGGGTTGGTGTCTGCATTGACACGTGTCACATTTTCGCGGCTGGATATGATATTCGAAGTGAAAAGGCATATGAGGAGGTCATGAGTAAATTCGAAGCGACCATTGGCTGGAACTATTTGAAAGCCATGCATATCAACGATTCTAAAGGAGACCTCAGATCGAATCTCGATCGCCACGAACACATCGGCCAGGGGAAGATTGGGAAGGATGCATTTGGGTTTCTGATGAACGATGAGAGGTTGAAGGGGATTCCGATGATTCTGGAGACGCCTGAAGGAAAATATCCGGAGGAGATGATGATGATGTACAAAATGGAGAAGAAATGAAATTGCCTGAAGATCTTGTTGAATATCACTTATTTATTTACATTCGAAAGTTGAATAAAGGCATTGTGAATTCACATTTTTTCGGTCATTTTTGGCTTTTAAAAAGTTATTTCCACCTACTCTGAAAGTTTCAAAATATTCCGATTTTCAAATTTCAAGTAGAAATCCCACAGAAACGCAAAATTTGATGATTAATCGGAAAAAGATGAAATTCCGCTCGAGACCCACAAAGGAACTTTCCACGTGCGAGTTTGAAATACAGTAGTCCAACAGGTTCCAATATCGCGAAAAAGGAGCAAAGGTTCCGCAACGAAAACTAACGTAACCTGAAATATTTGTGTGTTTTTTATTTTATCGATTTTCGTACGTTTTCAGTCATTTTTCGACGTTTTCAGTCAATTTTTCCGACTTCCTCCGAGGAAGATAACAAAAAATCGATAGAAATCAAAAAAATAAGTTAAAAAACGATTACCCTGGGTTTTAAACTGAGTTTTTATCGATTTTTCTGTTATTTTCACCAGAAAAGTCGGAAAATTGACTGAGAACGATCGGAAATCGAGAAAAAACCCCAAAAAAAGTTTTTAGGTTACGGTAGTTGTCGTTGTGGGACCTTCGTCTTTTTTTGTGTTTCCAAGAAGAATCGTAAGAATTGAAGTTCATTTTTTAACCAGACACAGAAAAATTGCATTTCAGATTGCAACAAAAATAAATAAACAGATCAAAAGTTAAATAAATTAAAAAGAGATAAAAAAGTCCTTAAACTCTGCGAGCACGGGCTCTCAAATGAGCAAAGATCTCGTTGTCGGACTTGAATTGGGTCTCGAAGGGATCGTCGAATTTGCATCCGATACGGTAGTTAACAGTGGAGTTCAAGCACTTTCCGGAGCGCCAGAGAACGTGCTCGTCGTTGCGTTTTTCGACTTGGTAGGTGATGAAGTTGAAGCACGCACGATGCCCTTGGTCGATGTAGGAGATGAAGACGGTGTGCGATTTTGGACAGACAATGTCACAGTACTCACGCTCCTCTCCGTCGTGGTCCTCCTGGAATTATAGAATTCTAGAATATCTGAAGCCCTCAGAATCCTTGATATTCAGTTTTCTGTGTTTTATTATGCCGTGCGAAGAAACGTCAGCAATTTTCTGCGGCCGTGGCCAGAGATTTTCTAGGCCATTTGCTCCAAGCAAGACCATCGGAGGAAATTCCATGCGGCTTTAATTTTTAGCTCGAAAAAAGGCTTCCATTTCGGTCGGTCGAAAATCGGCCACAGCCGACCGAATTCGTAAATCTTTGTGTACGCAGAATTTACAGAATAGATGGTCGTAAAATGAAATGTTGCGTCCGCAAACACTCTCTGGCATGTTGAAGAGCAAATTCAATAATTCGGTCGGCTCTCGGTCGACGGTCTTTTCTACCGACTGAAATGGAACCCTTATTTTTGAGCTAAAAATTTAAAGGCGCATGGAATCTCCCGCTGGGGTCTCGCTTGGCTGGCCGTGGAGTCCACGTGGACAAGCAAATGGCCTAGAAAACTCCAGCGGCCGCAGCCAATTTGCGTCCTCGAAAACCAAATAATTTGAAAACCAAAAAAGCAATTTGGGAGATTACTGTACCTGCCAACATCCGAGTCCAGTTGGAACTGGACGTCCAGTCTCCAACTCCTCAGCCTTCAACACCAAATGGCATTCGGCACGGTCTGGTCCTCCGCGGATCGAGTTGGTTGGGGTGGAGCATTTAAGCTCACGGTATTCTGGAAAATTCTGGACTTTTCAAATCTATCAAAAGTCCTTTCGAATTCAATAATTCTAATTTTAGGAAAATTCAGAAGATTTAAAAGCTCCCTGGAATTTTCCAATCTATTAGAAAACTTTTTCGAATTTTGGCAACTTTTATGAAATTTGAAAAAATCTGAAAATCTTACGATGGTAAGCTAAGACGCATGAAAGAATAGTGAGAACTAGAATAGGCCGGAACATAATTGGCTGACAGACACAGACTCTGAATTCTGTGAATATGCAAATGCTGGGGCATTTCGCGGCGACATATATGCCATAGATAAGGGACCGGTTTTCTGGACAAGCGGAGGGGCGACGAAAAGAAAATGCGCTTTTTATTAATAATTATTATTATTGTTATTATCATCTCAGAAGCCTATTTCATGTTTTTAGCGTTTTTCTTGTTCTCATGACGACACTCCTCCGTTGGCATGGACTAGAATTGGGCAATGGCATGGTCAATGAACTGCTGATTGTTATCTGGCATTATTACTGGAATAGATAGAGAAAAAACATAATAAACAAACATGACTAACAGATTCGGCAAAGATGCTAATCGTAAGAAAAAAGGGACCGATGGATTATTCGGAAAGTTGGGGATTCCGAAGTGTCAAGATTGAGCTCATTTATCTCGATTCCTGTGAAAGATATCAAAAAGTGTTCAACTGATAAAATATTGGTAATATTGTGATAAACAATTTACCAATTGACAACTTTTTGATAAATTTTTAAAAAACCAAGATAAATTCGCTCAAAGTTGACGGCTTAACTGGCACTCTACTAGAGGAAATACGTTATTGGGGAAAAAATGGAGAAAAGAAAAAAGTTCAACTTCACTATCAGCCCAAAAAAAAACTACGTAGAAAACCACGACCCTCGATGGCCCATTGACCTCGGGGAGAATAATTTCAAGAAAGGGAGAAATGAAGGAAAGAATCAGTTCTCCTCTTCTCTGGGGTCCGGATAAGGAGGAGAAGGAGCCAAGAGCTCCAGCTGGGTTTTTTCATGACCTAGCAAATAAAATCTAGGTCATGACCTGAAAATTTAAATATCTTGGTCACAACCTAAAAATTGGAATCTAGATCATGACCTGAAAATTGAAATCTAGGTCATGACCTGAAAATTGGAATCTAGGTCATGACCTGAAAATTTACATCTAGGTCACGACCTGAAAATTGGAATCTAGGTCATGAACTGAAAATTTAAATCTAGGTCACGACCTGAAAATTGGAATCTAGGTCATGAACTGAAAATTTACATTTAGGTCACGACCTGAAAATTGGAATCTAGGTCATGAACTGAAAATTTAAATCTAGGTCACGACCTAAAAATTGGAATCTAGATCATGACCTGAAAGTTTACATCTAGGTCACGACCTGAAAATTGAAATCTAGGTCATGACCTGAAATTTGGAATCTAGGTCATGACCTAGAAAATAATATCTAGGTCATGACCTGGATATTGGAATCTAGGTCACGACCTAAAAAATAAAATCTAGGTCATGACCTGAAAATTGAAGTCTAGGTCATGACCTAAAAAATGAAGCCTGGGTCACGACCTAAAAATGAAAATCTAGGTCATGGCCCAGAACCCAGGACCCGGCTGGAGCCCTTGGCTCCCAGGTGGAGCTCCTAGCACCTTCTCCTCCTTCTCCGGACCCCAGAGAAAGCGAGAACTGATTCTTCCCTCCATTTCCCTCTCCCTTTATAGTACTCCTCCTGAGGTCAATGGATTTCTACGTAGATTTTTGGGTCTAAAATTTAATTTAATATCGTTTTTATCACAGTTGAATTTTCAAATTTTGAAGTCTATGTAACGTATTAAAAATGTCTTTATTTTGACCTCATTTATCCAGTTTCCTGTGAACGATAACAAAAATTTGTCAATTGATAAATTGCTTATCATGATATCATGAACATTTTCTCAGTTGACAGATTTTTGATATCTTTCACAGGAGCCGAGATAATTGAGCTCAAAATGGACGTATAGGGTGGGCTTCTATTATAAGAAATAAGAACTTTTGAATCCTTCCGTCCAAAATCCAAAATTCTGATTTTCAAATGCTCGTTTTCTCATTCATGTATCTATTTATCTCTTTCAATTAAAACTTCTATAATTAAACGGTAGCTTACATAACAATAGCAGTGTCAGCACCTTCAATATCAAATGTCTTCTGACCTACTCATTCATTTTTCTTCTTTTTTTTCTATTTTCCGTTCACATTCATTTTCCTTTATTGCGTCACAAAGTAAGCGGGGTCTTTTCTTCTCCCCTCTTTTTTTCCATCGAATGGTATCTGAATGTGTGCACTCCAAATTGCATACCAAAATGTAGTGTTTGCATATTGCCTCCATGTGTGTGTACTCTCTTCTTATGAGTATGGGTATGTAAAAGAGGAAAAAAAATGGATGTAAAGGTGAAGAACTGACAAAATGAAAAGAGAAAAAAAAAGAAGAATTGGAGGTACAGTAATCCCATGGAAACAATATCGGAAGGAAAATGCCTTAAACACAAAAAATTATAACGCCCCTGATATTTAACTTTTGAGCAAATTTATCTCAGTTCCTGTAAAAGATATCAAAAAGTGGTCAACTAATAAAATAATGGTGATAATATGATAAACATTTTATCAGTTGACAGATTTTGGATGTCTTTCATAGGAACCGAGATAATTGAGTTCGAAGCTGAAGGTTTGGGTGTGTTTCTTATAGAGCAAATACGTTAATCAAGGCTAACGTTGTATTAGATAGAAATTAGAGAAATCTTGAGATCGATAAAATTCAGAAAATCTAAGAAAAACCCAGAATTCGAATTCTGGAATTCACGGATTCGTAGAGTATGTTTGGCAAGAACTGTAACTCGCCAATTTTGGAAGTGTTCTGTTTCAAAAATACAGAATGTATAATTCTACTAGTTGATTTGCGCTCCTCTGGTAATCTTTTAGCTTGTCGGATCAAATTTTTAAAATCTCATTCCATAAAACCTGCAATAGAAGGGCACCCATACTGTCCAGTTTGAACTCAATTATCTCGGTTCCTATAAGATATATTAAAAAAAGTGTCAACTGATAAAAAACTTACGATAGTATGGTAAACAATTTATCAGTTATCAACTTTTCTATATCTTTCATAGGAACCGAGATAAATTGGCTCATAGTTAAAACGGCATTTCCTCTGGACGCCCACCCGAACCGTCAACTTTGAGCCAATTTATCTTGGTTTCTATAAGAGATATCAAAAATTGACCAGCTGATAAAATGTAGCTGATATTATGATAAACCATTTATCAGTTGACAACTTTTTCATATCTTGCATAGGAAATGAGATGATTGAGCTCAAAGTTAAAGTCTTATTTTACAAGATCAACGGTAACAGAGATTTGGTTTACTGTATCTTTTTTCTTCTCTTTTTACTCCCATTTTCCCAGCAGATCGGTCCTTCAGATTTAAGGATTACCAGGTCAGTTTATCTTCTTCTTCACATCTCTATCCTTTCCAAAGAAGTTTTGACCTTCCGCCCCCCGTTTTCCCTTTGCTCTCCATCCCCCCGTAATTTAATGTTTCTCAATCACACCATCTGCCCTTCAGTCACTTTTTTTATGCCATTGTTCATTTCTCTTGGACCCTCTTGATTTGAAACACTCTCTTTTCCCAGAGAGAGCAAATGCACACTTCGTTTTACCCAACTGACCAGTCTCTGTACACCAAATCGACCGACGGTCCGCCCTTCGTCCGCCCAATGTTCGCCAGGGGAAGAAGAAGAACAAATACATTCTCTTATTTCATTGAAAGAGGGGGACACCACCCACCACGTCACTTCTCGGGTTTTTTGGGTGGCATTGGTGACCTCCAGTCCCTCCCCCCTTCTTCAACACACATACCAAACCACCCTTTTTTCTCGGGTCCACACCATTTATTAGTTTTTGGCAGTTCGACTAGAGATGGTCGTGGTGCATATTGATTTTGTTTTTTTCCTATCCTATTCAAGTTTTTCACTGGATTTTCAACTTTCCGGGTTACTGTATCCTGAAAAATTGAGTTTTCGAATTTTTTCTGCTGCTGCCTCACCACCCCAAAGATAGTTAACTTTGAGCCCAATTATCTCGGCTCCTGTCAGAGATATCAAAAAGATGTCAACTGATAAAATGTTCATCATAATATCAGCAACATCTTATCAGTTGACACATTTTTCCCAATTTTTTTAGGAAGCGAAATAATTGAGCTCAAACTTGACAACATGCTTCACGTTAGCTTTTAGAATTAGTAGGTTTCCTAGAACTCATCCTATTCTTCTGAAAATTTCTGGAAATTTGTTCTTTGGGAAATTTTTGGTTAAGCGGATAGTCAATTACACTAATCCCCCGTTTGATTCTACTTTTTGGGTTTCTATCGATTTATGATCTACCTTTTTTTCTTTTAGAACCCCACCCTATTCGATCCCAATTATCTTGATTTCTAAACGATATATAAAAAAATCTGCCAAGTGATGAAATATTGGTGATATAATGATAAATAATTTATCAGTTGACAACTTTTTTATATCTTTTATATGCATCGAGATAATTGAGCTCAAACTTGACTACCGTATGCGCTCTAATAGAGACCTACCCTATACATGCACTTTGAGCCTAATTATCTCGGTTCCTAATAGAGATATCATAATTTTGTCAACTAACAAAATGTTAATCATAATATCAGCTAGATTTTATCAGTTGACAACTTTTTGATATCTTTCACAAGAATTGAGATAATTAAGCTCAAAGTTGCCATTAACATTCCGAATTTTTCAGCTACCGGAGAAGCCCCCCCCCCCCCCCCCCACCCAAGCCGTCGACTTTAAACCCAATTATCTCAGTACCTAAAAGAGCTTTGAAAAATTGTCAACTGATAAAATGCTTATCATAATATCAGCTACATTTTATTAGTTGACAAATTATTAATATCTCTTACATGAACCGAGATAATTAAACTTAAAGTTGACGATTTGGGTGGAGCTTTTATACGGTGTCTAATCAGACAGTAAAGAAAAGGTACAAAAAAACTAACATTTCTATCAAATAGATCAAACCCTTTTTTGAATTTCTTAAAATTTGATCTATCGAGGAGTACACAAAAATTTTTTTATCATTTTTCAATTGTCTTTCTGATTTCCTTTTGTTTCTTCCAAATTTCTCGCCTTCAAATTCTTCCTTATTTAAACCAGATGCGCCGATGGCGCGCCAGTGCCTTGCCCATTATCTAAATTAGTTATCCCTCCGAACTGAAAAGTAGAATAAGTTATTTTGCATGTCTAGAACCACTGACAATGTTTTATTCATTTGAAAAGTTCCAGAGAACATTAGACAATGTTCCTGGAACGTTTCAGATTTTTCTATGAATTTTGATCTACCCTCCAGAAACTCCCTGCGAAAACTCAAAGACCCAAAAGCTAATGAACAAAAAGGTTTTTTTTTCAAGTTTCGTTCCCTCACACATTTTCTTGTTTTATCTTTTGTTATCACAACTTTTTCTTTTTTCTCTTCTTCTTTTTTTTCACATTTTCACTTTTCAACCACTTTTCCTCTTAAACTTTTTCGCCTTCCATCATCTTCTTATTCTCGTTTATCTTCTACTTTACACTAGAAAACAAATCTCAAAATCTAACAAGTGAAAACGTTCGATTTTTTACAGCAGTTTCCAGTCAAGACCATTCGAACAAAATGGATGAGACAAACGCCTTCTCGCCACTCAACCAGTTTATTATGCAGGTAAGGGGATTTCGGTGGCCTAGGATTTCATTTTGGGGTTTTTAGGTCAGGGTAGTCTTAGTCCTTTGGTAAATAATTTCAAGTTGATTTTGTTTAGTGGTTTTCTAACCTTGATGAAGCCTAGAAAAGCCAAATTACCGTAAACCCCCTGATAGAAGCCCCATCCTACGCACTTTTTAAGCTCGATTATCTCGGTTCTTTTGAAAGATATCAAAAAATTGTTACATAATAACATGTTGCTGATATTATCATAAAAATTTTATCAGTTGACAATTTTTTTATATCTCTTATGAGAACCGAGATAATTGACCTCAAACAAAAACGTATAGGGTAGACTTGCGGACAAATAATCGAAGTCGCCGCTTAGCTACGCGTTGTTGGAAGCAATTATCTCAATTCCTGTGAAAGATATCAACACTTTGTCAACTGATAAATTGTTTATCATAATATCAATGACATTTTATCAGTTGATACTTTTTTGATATCCCTCACAGGAATCGAGATTATTGAGCTTAAAGTGCACGTATAGGGTGGAATTGAAGTCGCCGCTTCGCTAAGCGGTCACCCTTCGCGTTGGCCTGCTCTCTCATTCTGTGAGAGCAATATCTCGATTCCTATAAGAGATATCAAAAATGTCTCAACTGATAAAATGTTTGAAATATTATGATAAAAATTTTATCAGTTTACAGCTTTTTGATATCTCCCCTAGGAACCGAGGTAATTAAACTTGACTACCGTATGGGCGCTATTAAAAGTCCACCCTATTTGTCCTTTTGAGTCGAATTGTCTTGATTCCTATGACAGATATGAAAAAGCTGACAACTGATAAATTGTTTATCATAATATCAATAACATTTTATCAGTTGACACGTTTTTGATATATCTCACAGGAACCGAGATAAATTGGCTCAAATTTAAAAGTTAGAAAGCCATTCTACAACAGACGTTTTGAGCACATTGTGATTTTTTTATTGATTTAAAGATTTTCTAGAAAACTAAAGGGCGAAAATTCTAGTCCCTCGTTTCTTACACCCAAACATGAATTCTCATTTTTCAGCAGAATTCAATCTCACCAACAAAAAATCCACTGGTCGATGAGAAGCTGTTGGCGTTCGTCCGAAATGCCCTTCAGAACAATCAGACGCTTCAAGGAGTCTTCCCGGACCAACAGCAACAAGCTCAACAGATTCAAAATCAGCAGCTCCAGAATCCACACCTTCAACAGCCACAACAACTACCACAACTACCACAACCACAACAACATCAGCTCCCAACAAACACTCAACTTCCAGTAGTAATTCCGCCGAACGAATCGATGATGAACAGTTTCAGTGGAGCAGCTGATCAGATGCTCAAGGCGTCTCCGTCAGCATCATCCGATATGAGCTCTCTGGACAGTGCTGACATGGCAGAGCAGATGCTCATGGCTCGGCAGCAACAGCAAATGCAGCAGCAGCTTCAACAACACCAACTTCAGCAGAGCGCTTTCCAGCCAGTGACTCCACTTCAACAGCTTCACATTGACTCGTCGGCAGCGAATATTGAAGCTGGAACTCCGAATAGCATGGAGTGAGTTTTCTAGAGGTTTTTGCTCCATTCTAAATTCCATTTCTCTTCCAGACAACGCTCAATCGGACGTCACGAATCGTGGTTCGAGTGCTTCACTACCACACGTCACTGTGAGTACGAAGCACTACTGTACTCGGTCTATGTGGCTGAACGAAACGAGAGAAAATACGATGGATGGACCTATTTCGACTGTCTCCATCGTCTGCAAAGCAAATGCCGCTATCGAGTTCGTGCCAAGAAGCAAGACGAGTTCTTTATTGTCGAGGAGAAGGGAGTGCATAATCATGGAGCTGTTGAGCCCGTTGGACAAGCTGGAAGTCATGCTGGATTGCCAAAGTGAGTAAGATCCTATGCTTTAGTATCCTAAAACTTTTGAATCCAAGGATATCAGACTGATTCAAAGATCAAAAGACACTCTCCTAACCCAATTCTCTTTCCAGAACCATTCGTGAGATCGTCGACAAATCGTACAACGAGAGCTGGCCATTGGAGGTCCGTAACGCCAAAATCGAATCAGAGGTCAAGCGTTTGGGATTGCCAGAGAATCCGAGACTCGGTCGCCAGATCGACAATCGTGTTGCCTATCTACGACGAGTCAAGAATCTTCACGAAACTCGTCGTATTCAAGATCAAGTCAACGGTTCAATGGGGTTGATCAAAGATTCGGATCAGTTGTCGGAGGCTCTTTACAATCCAGCGGTCATGCAAGCACTAATCAATAAGAATGGAGGTCAATTGACGGTTGGACAAGGAGTGGTTGAGCAACTTTTTGGATCTCAAAATATTGCTGACTTGGTCGCAGGACCGCCATCCTCATCTGGAGCATCCACGTCGTCGGGAGCCTCTGTCTCTCCACCTCTCCAAGAGTCAATGGAGAAGTTGACAAAACCATTGGCAATGAACCCAACTCCAGAATTCTTTCAACTCCTTCAACAGCAGCAACAACAAATGAATCAGATGAATCAGATTAATCAGGTCACTTCTCAACAGGAGAACACTCCAATGGAAAATATGCAACAATAGATTGTTCTAGATCTCCCCCCATGTATCCTTCTGAATACGCGTACTTTTTTTCTGTTTTTTTTTCATCAGACAACAATCTCTGAAAATGTTACGAAGTACTCTGAAAATCTTTCACTCGTTTCTATCTTCTTTCCCAAATGTGAATACCAAAAATGTTTTGATTTTTTTTGTGGTGTGAGGAATGAATTGATTAATTTTAACCTAATTTTTCTTTCTTGTTTTTTGAAAATATTCAGGTTTAGAATATATTCAAAACAGTAAAAAAAGAATGCAATTATTTTTTGGAATTGAACGATTTTCCGGATAATTTTGAGATAAAAATATTTCGAAAAATATTAGACTCTTACTTTAGAGTTTTTTATTGTGATTTTTCGAGATCTTGGATTCAGGTATACCTAGAATTTTCAAAAATTCTCAATGAACAATTTTAACTTAAATTTTTTTAAAATCAACATTATTTGAGAAATCGGAAATGTTCAAATTTTGATGATTGTGAAAACATTAAATTCTAAGATTTTGAGGTCACATGATCAGACGGGGATTTACCGAAATCAGGCGTACCAAGAATTTGGAAAAAAGTCCGTTTCAAATTTTTCAATTTTCAATTACCGTAAAACTCTAATAGAACGCCACCGAAACTGTCAACTTCGAGCCCATGTATCTCGTTTTCTATGAGTGGTATCAAAACGTGGTCTACTGATAAAATGTTGCTGATTTTATGATAAACAATCTGTTGACCTTTTTTTGATATCTTTAACAGAAATGGAGATATATGAGTTTTTTTAAATATATATATATATATTTCGTTTATTCGAAGGATTTGAAGAAATAAGGAGTGATGGTAACCGGGGAAAGAAAATGGCAAAAAACGAAGCTAAGAAGGACTAACCCGCAAGAGTTAGTCCTAATGTGGAGAAGGAAAAGAGAGATAGTGGCAAGACCAAAGTGATGGGGGCAAGTCAGAAACGGGTAATCGAGAACTCAAGAAGTTTTTGGAATTGTGAGGGTGGTAAGAAGATGGGGCAGTTCTTCACAATAGCGTTCTAAATTGGGATCGTTTGAGAAAAATAGTCGTTGATTTTGGGGTGATGGCATATAAGTAACATGGGGTGACGGGCGGAGGAGGAAATGGAAACATGTGAAGCAAGATTGGGAAAATAAGAGGCACCGCTAATTAATTTATAGAGTAAATGAAGTTGTGATTTGAGGCGACGATGGCGGATGGAGAACATGTTTATGATTTTGAGACGATTTTCATAGGAAGAGAAGGGGATGTTACATCTTTGGAGGACTATTGTGGAGAAGTGGCGGAGAGGTCGTTCTAATTTATGAGAAAGCTTGGAAGAAGGGGGTGGAGAGTAGACAGCAGAACAGTATTCGATGATCGGTAACACATAAGTTTTGAAAAGCGCAGCGATTGTTGGAGCGGAAAGATCTAAGTAGTTGGTGAGATCGGAGCATGGCAAGGGCGATTTTCTTGAAAATGTGTACTTCAAATTTCAGGAGCGGGTCGGTGGGGAGGCCAAGATCTCTGACTTGGGAGGACGGGAGAATAGAGGAGCCGTCGATGGTATAATTATGATGGGAATTTTGAGAGCCTAATCGAAGGAGTGATGTTTTGGAAGTGGCAAGAGGGAGAGAAGTCTTAAAGGACCAGGTATAAATTATGTCAATGGACTTTTGAATGATAGAGGGGGAATTAGAATTCCACCACAGTG